TTTTTTTTTTTTTTTTTGGTTTTGGTTTTTCTCCGGTACCAGGAACTGAACTCACAACCTTGCGCTTGCCAGGCAGGCGCTTTGCCACTGAGCTAAATCCCCAGCCCCCGAAAGCCATTCTTTGTAGCTTTTTCTCTCCAGCTTCCCATTTCTTTGGGACCAACCAGTTAGTGTCCTCTCCTCAACTGTCAGCACTCAACATGTGAATTTTGGATACCAACATTCAGATACTAGCACTAATTCTGAAAATAGAGTTTGGGTAGCTGAGAGAATGACATAGAAAAAGTGAAGCCACAACATAACACAATGGCAGCCTTATTGAACCTTAAAAGGGAATGCAATTCTGATACATGCTATAGAAGGATGAACTTGAGGGCATTATGTTAAATGAAATAAATCAGACAAAAGGACCAATACTGTATGATTCCATTTGTCTGAAGTATCTAGAACTGGCAAATTCACACAGACAGAAAGGATAATAGAGTTTATTATCCTGGAGGGCAGGAGGAATGAGATTTATTGTGTAATGGGCACAGAATTTCTTTTCTTAAAAAAAGTTTATGGAGGTATGATTGACATATAAAATTAATGCATCCATCTTAATGAGTTTGGAGATATATACCTGTGAAACCATCACCACAGCTGCTGCCATAAACATACACATCACCTCCAAAAGTTTCCTGTGGCCCTCTTTATTTGTGATAACAATAAACATGAGCTCTACCCTGATAGCAAAATTGTCAGTATCCAACATGGTATTGTTAACTACAGGCAATTTATTATCCATCCAGTAGACCTCTGGTACTTGTTCATCCTTCATAACTAAAACTTTATATCCTTGAACCAACACCATCCTGCTGCCCACTGGCAGCCACCATTCTGTACTGGGCTTCATGGGTTGAACTATTTAAAATTTCTCGTATAAGTGGTATCATATAATATGCCCTTCTGTGTCTGGCTTATTTCATTTACAATAATGTCCCTTAGGTTCATCGATGTTGTTGCAAACAGTCAGGTTCTTCCTTTCTAAGGCTGAATAATTCTCTCTCTCTCTCTTTTACATTTTCTTTGTCCATGCTAAGGGTGTAAACTTTCTGTTTGGAATTATGAAAAAGCTCTAGAAATGGATAGTGGTGGTTGCACAGCATTATGAATATACTTTTTGCCACAGAATTGTGCACTTAAAAATGGTTACAGTGTCAAATGACTCAAGTTTATCTTTCTTTAAGGCAGTAGTATTGCATTGTGTGTAAATATTTTTTTAATCCATTCATCTGTTGATATGGTATTTCCAAGATTTAGCTATTATGAATTGTGCTGCTATAGGGCTGGGGATGTAGCTAAGCAGCACAAGCACCTGCCTGGCAAGCACAAGGTCCTGAGTTCGATTCCCATTACAAAAAAAAAATTGTGCTTCTATAAACATGGGTATGTATATACCATTGGGTATGATGTCTTTAACTCTTTTGGGAAGATACCTAGAAGGGGAATAGCTGGGTCAAATGGAATTTCTACTTTTAGTGTTTTGAGGAATCTCCATACTGATTTCCATAGTGTATGTGTGAGTTTACAGTCCCACCAACAATGGAGAAGGGTTCTTTTCTCCCCATAGCCTCACCAGCATTTGTTATTGGTTGACTTCTTGAAGGTAGCCATTCTTTCTGGAGTGAGATAAAATCTCAGTTTTGCTTTAATTTGCATTTCTCGAATGACCAGTGATGTTGAACATTTTTGGGGCGGGGGCGGTTATTTTTCTGGTACCAGGAATCAAACTCACAACCTCCTGCTTGCCAGTGCTGTGCTGCTGAGCTAAATCCCCAGCCCCAGATGTTGAACAGTTTTTTCATGTATTTATTGGTTGTTTATATTTCTTCATTTAAGAAGTATCTATTCATTTCAGATGCCCATTTTGAATTGGGTCTTTAAATTTGGGGGATTTAATTTTTCAAATTTTAAAAATATATTCTAGATATTAGTTTTTTGCCTATGGAGTGACTGGCAGATATTTTTTCCATTCTGTAGGTTGTCTCTTCACTCTGTCAGTAGTTTCTTTTGCTGTGCAGAGGCTTTTTAATTTGATGTGATCCCATTTGTTGATTCTTGATATTGTTTCTTATGCAACCAGGGTTTTGTTCACAAAGTCTTTGCCTACACCTGTGTCTTCAAGAATTTTACCTATTTTGTCTTTCAGCAGATTAAGTGTTTCTGTTCTAATGTATAGATCTTGAATCCATTTTAAATTTAGTTTAGTGCATGATGACAGACATGAGTCTAAGTTCAGCCTTTGGCATGTGGATAGCTAGGCTTCCTAGCAGCATATGTTAAAGAAGCTGTCTTTCCTCCAGTGCAGGGAATTGCTCCCTTTGTCAAATATAACATAGCTGAATGTGCCTAGAGTTGTACTATATCTTCTGTTCTGTTCCACTGATACACCAATCTGTGTTTTTGTCAATACTATGATATTTTTATCACTATAGCTTTGTAGTATAACTTGAAATCTGGGTTTGTAATTACCCCTGCCTTGCCCTTATTGCCCAGAATTGCTTTTGCTATGCTAGGTTTCTTCTGGTTCCATATGAATTTTAGAAACTAGGATTTTCTCCTGTTCTGTAAGGAATGTTATTAGTATTTTGATTGAGATGGCATTAAATCTGTATAACAGTTTTGGAAGTATGGCCATTTTGACTACATTGGTTCTACCTATCCAGGAAGAAGGGGTAGCTTTCCATTTTTTTCTTTTTTTTTTTTATTTTTAAGAGAAAAAAGAAAAAGCCAGTAGAAACAACACAGAATTTCAAAACAAGTTGATAGGAAATTTCATTAGGAAATTAAAAATGGTTATTATACTGCATATTGTTATCTTCAAAGTAGTTGCTCAGATTACCAGATAGAGGAATGCAAAATTGGTCAAACAATATAAGCACTAACTGTTCCTTTAAATGAACTAGTAGAAATTAGTAGTGCAATTATCTTAGCTATCTTCTTTCTATATATTTTTAAAAAATATTTTCCCCCTTCTTTTCTCCTTTCCACCATCCCAGTTGTTCTTTCCTTTTCAGC